CCGCCGCTGCAGATCACCCGTGCTGTGGCTCTCCTCAAGCCGTCGCTGCTCTGTCATGTTTTTGTAAAATGTGTATTTTTATTTTTAATCGGGAGAGGGTGGAATATATTATATGGCAACGGACCAGGCGGCCAAAAATAGATGGCAGCTACCACCGGAGCCCCCCAAGTGTAGGGAGCGCGGAGAGGAGCCGCAGGGCTCGGCGTGTCCTCACGGCCTCGGGCTGGCGGCCCTCAGCGCCTCGGCAGCGGTACGCTTTTTCCTCAGCGCAGGCCGCGGCCGGGGGCGGTTGCGGACCCGTCGCCCCCTCAGGGGCAGGGGGAAGCCTAGGGGTAACGTCGGGAACCTCAGGCCGCTGCCCGGGTGTAAGGTCGGTGTCCGGCCTCGGTTTCAAGTAGCTTAATATCAAGTGCTGACTAAAACCAATGGGAAAGGTGACATTTCAAGGCATGGCTTTTTTTTCTTTTAAATTGTCATTATTTCTGTAGGGTGATTGGTGGCTGTAAAAAAAGCTGGCATTGTACGCTCAGTAGTTATTTTTGATCAGTGTTTTGACATAAAATATCACTTCAATTTAAAAATAAAATGACATTTTGAATTAAAAAAATCATTTCCATGTGCTTTTGAAGGGGAAATTGAAAACATTGTTCAGAGTTGATGTTTTACTGCTGGAAAGGGAAAAGCAGGTTTCAAGTTTCCCCATCATTTTCTAACAGGGAAAACATTTGGGCCCAAAAGTATATCTTTCTAAGGCTAAATGCCTACACTGAAAAAATGTGAATCTGCATTGCTGCAGAATGGATTATGGCATCTTTTCTAGGTTGTTGCTGGTAGACTGAAGGTTTCTTAGTAATTGAAGCTCTTCAGACCTCTTTGTTACCTTACTGAGTTGTTACAGTTATGTTTTAGTGTCTTAAATGCCTGTATCTTTGCTGAATCTGTTAAGCTGCATGAATGGGCACCTGTTGATCCAAGAGCCAGTGACATGCGGATATGGGCCTGAATTTCTAACATATGTAAGCCAGGTTTGAAGGGGGAAGATGAGGGAGCTTGCTTTGAAAGCTTACTGGCTGATAATGTAGCGTATTTCTCAAAAATAGTATTTTTACTGTGGTTAAATTATCGAGGTTTACCAAAAAATTTCCCAGTGATTTGCTTTTCTTGGTCTGTAAACCCTGGTTACTCTTCAGACACACGACTGTCTTGCAGAATACTTCAATATCCTAGTTGCAGCTGTTCTTGCTAACAGGTGCTTGAAAACAATTGGGAGTCCTTGCAAAGCCCTGTTAGCTAGCAGAGGGTTCAGTCTTTTGGTCATTTTTCACCTCTTTGGAGATTTGCCAGTCCTTTGCTCAGCTGAGAGCCACAGGGCACCTCGCCAGGACTCAGAGCACCATAATTCAACATTCATAAAATGGTGCATAGGGGGCTTTCTCCTTCGTGGTATGCAGGTCAGCTTAAGCTGTGGATGTAGCAGCTTTGATATTGACCATTAATTTTATTTACAACTGAGTGCTATGTCATAGGAAGGGAACTTGGGGGAAGAGGAGTGCTTTTGTTACAAATGCAAAAGGTGGGAGAGGTCTCTTCCCTTATCTTTTGGATTTGCTTGTGCTTTTCCCATGGGACTGTGGCACTTGAATTACTTTCTTCCATTGCAGAGTTGCTGTGTAATAAATGCTTCTGGGAAGGAGTTAAAAATAGATGGTGGCACAAGAAAATATTAAAAACAAAACAAAAAGCAAAAGGTGTGGCACATAATGGTTATTTAGCAATGGCTACTGTGTAACATTTAACTAGGAAACCTGAGCTGACACTAACAATCTGGCAGTGCAGTCTGCTCATCGTTTAGTGGTTGAGTAATCTGTGAACTACTGTAAGAATTTCATTTGTGGTTCAGTATGTTCTAATGGAAAGATAGATGACAATAGCCTCTTTGTCTTCAGTGTTTGTAATGTGAACAGCTATCCTAGTGTAACTCCTAACACACGGAATTCATGAGTGAGTCCCTTCCAGAGTTGGAAGAGTATCTGAAAAACCACTAGATTTTTGAAAAGTAAAATAGTGAAGACTTTTTACTTGTCTCCTTATTTCTTAGCCTGCAGAGTGCCCTTGAAAGATGCCTTCAGTGTTTGCTCCCTGAAAACAAGGTCTACAAACTACCTGGGAGAGGGGTGGGAAAAGGAAACCAAGTTCTTACATTGACTGGATTGGTCTGACCCTGCAGTTGTCTAAAGCACCTTTTTGTTGAAGCAGGGTACTGAGACATGTCTTCTGTTCTATGTTCTGCCTCATCATCTCTGACAGTTTTGCTTCTTTTAGACTGTTTGCTCATGCTGGTGTACAAGGATAAATCTGAACGAGCAAAAGGGCATAAGGAGAGAAGCAGCATGACCTTAGAAGACATCTGTGGCTTGGATCCTGGGCTCTCCTATGAGGGCTTGAATCACACACTTGCAATCATCTGTCTCTCTCAAGTTGTGATGCTGGGATTTGAGAATAAGGAAACAATGTATGCGTGGGATGTACGAATCCGCTACAGTTTGGGGGAAGGTAACCTTTGTGTTCTCACACTTTTTTTTTGGGGGGGCGAGGGTAGGGGGAAGAAAAAGCAAATCTATAGCTAAAATGCAAATCATAAAGTATAGTTAAAAGAAAAGTGTCACTCGTATGAGAGTGAAGAGACTGGTCTTTCCCTTACATCTTAAAGCAGGTGTCCCTTATGATAGGTTTTAATTACAGTACTGATGGCTAACTAGGACATCTCTTTTTTAAATTATTTTTTATTTATTTTGGCACTGGAAGTGTGTGGCTTTGAAGCAAAGTGATCAAACTTCTGGCCCTGCATTTTTTTTTTTGAGGATTCTGACCACAGGATTCAGAGGGAGCCTGAATTAAGAGAAGGAGAGTCCTGAGTAGAACTTGGCTAGTTCAGTCCCAGTTTCCTAGCTGCCTACTAGGTGTTGCATTGATAATGCTTACTGCTGCTAGTGTTCCCTTTCAGGAAGAGACATCTTGCAATAAGGAGTGTCATAAGACACAGTCTTTTCAGCTAACTTAACTCTTGCACATCCTTTTATTTTCTTGATTAGCAGCTCTAAAATGTACAGTGATGAACAAAAAGTGATAATAGTGGTAATCTGTAGTATCTGTCTTATGTTTGTTTAGTCATAACTAGGGAAGGAGGGTAGGTGTGTGGGAGACACACATTAGCCACCTTAATCGTTTCTTACATATGCTTTGCCATCTGTTGCATTTGTGGACTTGTTCCTTTGTTATATGTACATAGAAAGATGGCCTGGGAATTTTACAGTAATAAAACATATACAACTAACGGAAGAAGGATGCATGGATGTACCACTTGGAGCTATCAGATATGAAGTCTTGCATAAGGGGAAAGGTTGGAGGGGGATTTCTGTGCAATACAGGCATGAGTAGCTGGAGTAGGTGGTAAACTTTGATGTTAGCAATATTATGTTCCAGTTCTACTTCTTTACTAGATTTGAGATCTGTGTAAAGCATAGACTTATCCTAAAATGCAAAGAAGAATTTGTATTGGACAGGTAGGTCTGGTTTTTGTGATCTTGCACTGGTGTAGTGCTGGGATTAAGAGAGTATTTTATCTCAATCTGGGTGTTACAGTTATCATTGTGATGTGAGAAAATGCAGAAGCAGCAAAGAGTTTTCTGGGTTTTTTTTAAAGGAAAGCTGTGAGTGAGGTAGGAATAGAGCCTATTGGATGAAGGTGCATGCAGCCATGGAGTAAAGATGAAGTGGGAGAGAGAGTGTGTGAAGAAATAAAGAAGTAAAAGAACAGGTATATTGTTGAACTGGCAATACTTTGTAGAATGTTAATTGCAAAAAAAAGCTCAGGAGAAGGAGAATAGACCAGAGTACAGAAAATTTGTTCCGGATTTTATCTTGGGTGCAGGTTCAGTTAAGAGAAAAGCCAAATTAAAATGAAACTAGTTTGACATAGAAAACAATTAAAGAGTGGAGGCTTATATAAAGAGAGGATGAAGACTGGTGTTTTTTCTTAGTGTAGTAAGGATGCCTTTGTGTGCCTTGGAAGTAAGGTGGCTGGGTGATAAAAATAGATGAAACACAGATGACCTCAGAGTCTGGGAAGCAAAAAAAAAAAAAAGGTGAAAGGAGTAGAAGCTGTTCTTGAATGAGGACCACAGAATGGAGGCATTTGCACTGGAGCTCCCACTGTTTTCTCTATTTTTTTTTTTAGCAGATGAGGTGGATGTAATTCCTGGAATAGAAGAACCAGGATTAGAGAAAACAGTGGAATTAAGTGAGTTGAGGTATAAGTCTGATGTGAGAAGAGTGCTCTAGCCCACATCTCATTCTGAAGAAGTTAGCATACTACAGGCTAGTGAAGGGCAGAAGATTTACTAAAGGAACTGAGAAACTGAAATAGCACCTTTTGTTCATGGCTGTATTTGGCTATGCATTTTTTTTTTTTAGAGTAGGAGAAGTAAATGGCATGGAAGGTACTTGGAAAAAAAATGTGATTCATGAAAAGTAGCATATGGCAAAAGCTTCATGTCCAGATTTGTTTTTCCCCCTACTTTGGCTTTGTTCAGATATGGATATACTGTTTGTTTGTTTTTAACAGTGGTCTAGAATCTCAGCTGCAGCTATTTGTTTTCAGCAGCTGTTGTAACATGCTACTGATTGTGTGAAGAGTGTGTTCCACTCCTCACTTAGGAGACAGAAAGAACCCCGATGCTCCTGCTCCCACTGTTTAATTGCCAGCAAAGTACTGGGCAGAAGGGTCCGACTGATAGTAAAGATTCCTTATGCAACATTATTCACCAAGGTGGTTTTGGCATCTTTTTCCACAGTTTGTTTAAGCAGGTTGTGTAACAACTGCGTGCCCAAAAGGGGACATTGTGTGACTGTTGATTTGCTTCCTAGCAGTGCTACTGGCAAAGCTGTAAGTAGAGCTGTGGTTAGTTAGAGCTATCTCTGTCTCCTTGTACATTTCACTTGAATGACTTTGTGGCTAATTCTGCTGGAGCCTTAGGGAACTTACCAGATGCATGTCACAGATGAGGAGTTGCCTTACAGCTAAGATGGTAACTAAGAATATAGCAAGTATTTAGATGAGAAGCAGGACTCTGACCTAGCTGAAATTCATGATGCTTGAAGGAGCAAAGGCAAGAAGCAGGGGAGAGTGGTTGTGAGAAGTGAGACTACCTGGAAGTTACCCTGTAGACTTCATAGGCAGGTAGCTAGGTAGATGTTTGTATGATCTTTGATGGATAACCAAAAGCTAAAACTATGTGCATCTTGGTAAATGCTCTACCAAAAACCTACAGCTGGAAATGTAACTGTTCTGATGCCTCTCTGTGCCAAGAAAGGCTTTTTTCCCCTTTTTTTTCCCTTGTCTAATCACAAGATGAAAGAAACTAGAGGAGTAGTGGAGGTCAAAAGTTATTTGAGTACTGGGTGCTTGCTTACTTAAATTGCTCCCTTTGAAACACTGTGAGATTTGAGCCCTTGAAGTGCTCCCAGTAGCTTATGATTCAGAATGCAGCAGCTCTGGAGGAGACGATGGGAGACCGGCCTAGAACAGTTGCTATGTTAGGTAAGGATCCTTGCAATATAGGAGACACTGGCATTGAGATTTGAACCTGAATTTTGTAAATGTGGATGAGACGAGTGTTTCCTTTTTTCCTGACCTTTTGAAGTTTATACTGTGAAATATGAAGAATAAACTGACATCTAAGAGTGTTTATTAGCTTTGAATCACTTAATTTTCTAGTAATTTAAAATGACTAGGTATCTATCATCACCAATTCCTGAAAGATTCACAAAGGTGAGAAAATGTGATTCTCCCCAACCCCCCCCCCACTTTACTGCTAGGGAAGGAGTGAAGCAGTTAATTAAAAGGTTGCAAATGAGTCAGTGACAGATCTCTGCTTAGAACTTGCCTACTTCTTTGAGCCTTGGCATTTGGACTCCTCAGGCTGTGTATGTGTGTATGCATGCATGTAGGAAAGGAAAAAGTCATGGGCTGTTTAGAGGAGATAGAAAGAAATGTGAGTAGTGATACAAGGATGGAAAAGGTAACTGAAGTGCGGACTGGATAACTGAGTAATTTGAGATAGGGAGTAGCCTGGATGACTTAAGATAAATTAAGATACATTTACAACTTAGTCATTTGTAGCATTAAGTCAAGATATGGGTTTTTTCCAATCCTAAACTGGTGGCATAATGGAGAGTAATAAGCTTATAACTACTCACATGGGGCTGTCTGGGCTCTGCTTTATGCCAGAGCCTCATAATGTGGCCAGGGGTCAGTCCACATTCCACAGCTGAACTGAATGACTCATGTAACAGAAGTCATGGTACCTTACTTCTATTTTCTGTAGTAATTTTGTTTTCTTCCTTATCTGATAGTTCATAGATTTCAAGTTTTTGTAGCACCTGGCACTAAACTAGAGAGTGGGCCTGCTACCCTGCATTTCTGCAATGACATTCTCGTCCTTGCAAAAGATGTTCCTCCTAGCGTCATGGGGCAATGGAAGCTCTCGGATCTGCGTCGGTACGGAGCTGTCCCAAATGGATTCATCTTTGAAGGGGGTACCAGGTGCGGCTTCTGTAAGTACAAATGGAACCTGTCTTCTAAAAGTTGTTTGAAACCTTTTTGTAAATGCCAGCCTTGTTCAAAGGGGAGCTTGCGGAACCAGCTGTGCTGCTTTGTCATACAGGCAGCCTCATACCAGAGGGGCTGTTCTACTGAGGAGATTTCTGCAGGCTTCAGCCCTGGTGTTCAGTGAAAATGTGACTGGAGTCCTGACTGAACATTGCTCTGTGGCTCTCCATAAGATGTTTATTCAACTGTTGCTATTGGACACAGAGCAAAAAATAAAATAATGACATTTTCTGGTGTGTGTCATGCAAGAGATAAGGCAAATTGGTTTAATGTTCTGATTATTAAATTATGAGTAATTATGTTGTTTGCAGAAGGAAAATTATACGGAGCTTTGAGGTTACAAGCAGCATCAAGACTCTCATTGTATAAATGCTAATGTCTGTATCCCATAGAGAACTTCTAGCTCCTAAAAGTTAGGAACTTCTGTCTGTTCCCTTCCTTCTTAGTGGTTTTGTCAGTTTGTGGGACCATGAGATCTGTGGGGTCAAAAGGAAAGCAAGCAAGCAAGCAAGCTGAAGCTAGTTTGTGTAGCCTAGTAGCTAAAATGCTAATAAGTAAGAAATAGGCTTCAAATAATGGCTTAATTTTTGAAGTATATAGTTGATTGCAAATGGATTACCTGTGAATTCCAAGCATGTGTTTTATGCAGACTTTCATTAGAATATGGAAGGAGACAAAATAATACTCTGAGGGATATCTGGGAGTGGAAATGACTACCAGGAAATAATGATGGATATCAGAACTTATGTTACCCTTTAAAAACAAACAAACAATAAACCAACAAAAAAACACACCCTAGAAACCCCTTTTTGTTTTTTTCTTTCATGCTTATTCTAGAAGGAATGTTCAGCATGAATTGACAAAGCATTTGCAATACACACTGTCTGAAGAGTTGATTTCTTAGGTATACTGCAGTTTTGAAAGGGATGTTGTGGTAGGGTGTGAAGAACAGGCATTTAGGATTCCTTAGTACATGTGGCTTTTATGATAATGTTGATGAATGGATATGGCTTCAGTTCTGGTTTTCATTCTTGAAAGTGTAAAAGTAAGGGTATTTACAGATCAAAATGAAATGTGCTGACTTACTTATCACCCATTCTGTGTGTGAGGATCTTTGTTTAGTGGGTGCCTGAACCAAATAATTTAGAAAATGCGTGATTCACTACTAGAACTGAGTACTTTGCCTGCTTGTTTGTGCTGATTATCCTCATAGAATTATTTAGGTTGGAAAAGACCCTTAAGATAGTTGAGTCCAACCATTAACACTACCAAGTCCACTACTAAATTGTGACCCTAAGCACCATGTCTGTATGTCTTTTAAATATCTCCAGGAATAGTGACTCCACTGCTTCCCTGTGCAGCCTGCCACAGTGTTTGATAACCCTTTAAGTGGAGAATTGTTTTCCTAGTATCCAATCTGGCACAACTTGAGGCGATTTCCTCTTGTTCTATCGCTTGTTACTTGGGAAAAGAGACTGACACCCACCTTGCTACAACCTCCTTTCAGGTCGCTGTAGACAACTTGCAACCAGTCAGTACATTTCTGCTGTAGTGGTTACTGTTATAGTCACCTCAATGTGTAACATGACTGCAAGGAGGTGTACAGGATAGGACTGGATTTCTAAACACAGTCCTGTAAGGAATAACGGGTGAATAAAGTGTCTCTAGTGTTTAACACAAGACCTAGTTCTGGAAAGATTCTCCAGGGGTGTAGGGACCACAGATGTTACTCAAGTAATCTGAGTGGCCTATGAGCTCTGCAAATTAGCAAAGAAAACGGTCTGCAGAAGCCAGTCTCCTTCCTGTTGGATTCTTGTCTGCTGGAAGGCAACTCCACCACAGCTTCCTAGGAGGCCCTGCAGAGCCTTACTTTGAGACATGCAATATATGTTCGTCAGTTGTACATCTCGCCTAAATCTTGTGTTCATCCATTTAATGTTTGCTGTTAGAGGATTGCCTGTGTCCAGAAATCTGAATATAGCATCTCTGCAGGTACTCTTTTGAGGTCACCTGTGTAACGTTCAGGCATTCAGCAACAAGGCACTTAAGTGTAAAGAATGAAGGTCTGTTTCAGTAGGATCTAGCTGACATACTCAATCCTAAATTACTGTGCTTAATAAAACCTATCTGTGCTCTTCATTTGGTTTTGTAATGAAATACTATTCACAATGTACTGTCAAGATCTGTATTTATGTTTAGATAACTAGTATATCACCTTACAGTTCTATGTATTGCTTATGCTATGTTATTAAAGGTGTATATGTCCCCAAATAAAATCAGACTAGTAACTAATATGAACTGTATTTATGTGACATAAAAAATGTGCAGTAGCCTGTACGGTGAATATAGACCACCTCAGTTTGTGCATTTTGCTCTTATTGCAGTGTTTACGGAATACCAATTTCAGTCTCTTTATTCATGATTGGGTTTTGTAGTAAATGCTGACATATAACATTACTAATGTACTAGGAACTTTCATTTACTGTTAATTGATTTGAAAGAAAATTTTATGCTTCAATACCTGGAATATCACCAGTTCCTACTAATGCTTGAATTTTGAAAGCTGGCAAGTATATGAACCAAAATATTAATCTGAATTAACTTTCTGTCAATTTTTGCTTAGTTGTTTGATAGTACAAATGAATGCTGTAATTTATTTTGAAAGATTAGTGGTGCTTTAGTACAGACAATTTGCTGTAGCAGTTGTGTTATTAAAGTGTTGATGAGACACTGCTGATTTGGTTTTGCAGCAGTGTTACAGAATGCTAATTATTAATTTTCTACAGTATAGCAAGAAGCTAATTTTTTTTCTTAGAATGCGATCAGAAAGAAACTTCCAGTCTGGATGTCTCAAATGGCTAAATACCACAGAATGCTTGAGGTTTGGAGGGACTCCTGGAGGTTACCTTGTCCAGCTTCCTTGCTCAAAGCAGGGTCAGCTAAAGCATATCCAGTCAGGTTTTGCATATCTCCAACGTGGGCACTCCACAACCTCTGTGAGCAACTTCTTCCTATATTCTGGTGTATTAGCCACACTTCTGAATGTTGTGTCTTCTGCAAACTTGCTGAGGGTGCACTTTGACTCATCATCCAGGTCATTAATGATGTTAAACAGCGTTAGCCCCAATACTGACCCCTTGCATACACCAGTAGAGATCAGCCTCCAGCTGGACTTTGCCTTTTCAGCCTGGCAATTCAGTCAGTTTTCGGTCTACTGTTCACTTACCTAGTCTGTACTTGATCAGTTTGTTGATGAACGCATTCTAGGAGATGGTGCTGAAATCAGGATAACAAAGTTTTCAAAGGAAACACTATCTACTGCTTCATCCACCAAGCTAGTAATCAAAGACTATCAGATTGGTTATGCATTATTTTACTTCTATAAGTCTATACTTACTACTCCCAGTCAGCATCTTGAAAATTGATATCTTCTAGGATTATTTGCAGTACTACCTTCCCTGGCCTGTGGTTCCCTGAATCCTCCTTCTTGTCCTTCTTGAAGATAGAAGGCATGTCTCCTTTCCCACACCCCACCCCAGACCTCAGGCACACCATTGCACCCTCGAGTCACCATGACCTTTCAAAGTTGATAGTGCCCTTGCAGTGACACTAACCAACACTTGCAAATGCATCCCATAAGGCCCCATGGTTCAGTTTGTTTAAATGTTCTTTAATCTGGTCCTCTTTCATCCTAAGCCTTTTTCATGTCCTTTGTAATGAGGTCCACTATTCAGCAGACAACTGAAGTTTTCCCTAGTTTTCCTTTTGCTGCTGATTTAACTGCAGAAACCCTTCTTGTTGCCTCTCACATCCCTCCATAGATCCAATTCCAGGTACAGTTAGGCTTTCCTAACCCCATTTTTGTGTGCTTGTACAGTGTGTCTGCATTCTTCTTGTGTCATCGTGGTCACCCTACTTTTATCCTATGTATGCTTTATGTTTGAGTTTTGTATTGAGTCCCATGTTCACCCATGCAGGCTTTCCTGCCATGTTTTCTTGTCTGAAGTTGCAGGAGGTGATCTGTGAAAATCAGCCAGCTCTCCTGGATCCCGCTTTTCACCAAGACTCTATCATACAGTATTCTTCCAAATAAATTCCTGTACAGGCCAAAGTCTGCTCTTTCAGACTGAGTCTAGGAAGTGGGAGTGAAGATGTTATGGGTCCTTAAGTCTTAGTTCCCAAACTTAAATCTTAGTTGTATAAGAAAGCCCAAGAATAATGAAATAAATAGCCCTTTGTTTATGTTCTTCAGCTAAATTGTGTAATTTCTTCTGTAACTTGTTCTAGATTTGATGCAATTGTTGTGCTCCAGGAATTTAAACTCATTTGGGCTTACTGAGTGTTGCTGTATCTTAATCACCACACAGCAGAAAACCTAAATGGTTCAATCCGTAGGCCAGGGTGCCAGATGCATAAGAAATGTGTAATGAGAATGGATAATACAAATGTAAAACTTGAGCTGGAGCTTGAGGCAGCTGAATTACCTATGTTATATTATGTTTTGGCGGTCCCCCCCAAGCTTATGCTAATTTCTGGTGCAAAATGGTACGGGTGTAAAAAAGGAACAAATATGATCCCTTATCTTCCAAGGGGAACTATTCTGGTTCCAGGAAGATATTCTGCATTTCTTGATATACCATTAATTAAAATGGTCTTTGAAGTTGTGGTGAGGTGTACACAGATTAAGGATCTGACTTCTGAATGACCATCAACTGTTTCTGAAGGTCCAGCACTTTCGAACACTGGTGCTGTTGTGACTCTTTAATCCTTAGAACTGAAGTGTGAATTAGGCTTAAAATGTGGTCTTGAGTTCTGTAGATCTTTTTATAGCTACAACCTTTTAATCTTTTTAAAATTTCCAACTTAAATTTTTGTGTTCTTTCATCCTAGATTGGTTTTGTACCAACATTGTCCTTTAGTATAATGTTATCTCTTCCTGATGTTT